AAAAGAAACTGTCCATATGACCTGACTGACCATTAACGGGTATCTTAACATGCACTTTTTGTTTGTTTGTTTGTTTGTTTTTCTGTTTTTTGTCTTTCCTCCTAGAGAGGTACCTGCTGGCCTCCATTCTGTGTCTGTTTGCTCCTTCCTGTCCTCTCAAACTCCACCTGGTCGAAGCAGATGGCCTCTCGTCCTGAGCCTGGTTCTGCTGGAAGATTCTTCCTGTTAAAAGAGTCTTTTCTTTCCACTGTCTCCTTGGTACTAGCTCAGGATGAGAGACTGTGATGAAGTGAAGACTCAACAGAAGCTGCTGGCTGCCCTATACCTTAGATAAATAATGTTACTAGCTGAATTTTTATGGATGTGAATGTTTCTGTTCAGAGCCCTGAGATGTTGTTGTGACTTGGTGCTGTATAAATAAACTGAATAGAATATATTGATAAAATACACTGAATTTCAAATGTTACTGACTGAGATTGTTATTAAAGATATAATATTTTCTGTTTAATTGTCATATGTCTCCTGCTTTAGTAAATCATCCATCCATTAAAATCTCTTTGTTCCTCGTCAGGGTCAGGGTGGACTGGAGACTACCTCAGCTGTCTCTGGGTGGAGGCAGAGTGTTGAGTTCTGTTTATTGAGAGTTTCTGTTCTGTTTATTGCATTTACGATTCCATGCAACAAAATAAACACATTTAAAAGGTACCAGATGATTGTAAAACTTGGTTTATTTACATAATGATTTTAATCGCTGGATGTCCGGCCCCTGAGCTGCTGGCTCTCAGTAACTGTGGCCCCCTGAGCAGTTGTATTGAACAGCCCTGCTCTAAACAATCTAGACAACCGCTAGTCGAGATGAGTCTTTAACAGTGTCTTTCTTTGCCATTCTCCCATAAAGCTCAGAGTGAGGAAGAATTTGGGCAACCGTTGTTGTATGCTCAGTCTCTCCCAGCTCACCTGATGAAGCTTGTAACTCCTTCAGAGTGGTCACAGGTAACATGGCAGCCTCTCGCACTCTACGGTCACTGAGTTTGTGAGGACAACCTGCTCTTCGTAGATTTACACATGTTCCATAGTTTTTCTATTTTTTCAAAACTTCTGGGGGTAATCTTTTGTATTCATCCCCTAACTTGGACTTTTCTATAATCTTTCTCTGAGTTGAATTGGGACAGAGGCTCAGCTGGTAGAGCTGCTGCCTCTCAGCATGAAGGTTGCCGGATCGAATCCCAGCTGGAGGACCCTCTGGGTGGAGTTTGCATGTTCTCTCTGTGGGTTTTCTCCGGGCACTCCGGTTTCCTCCCACAGACCAAAAATGTGCATGTTAGGATGATTGACAATTAAAAATCATCAGTCATGTTAGTACGTCCTGAGCGTTTCATTAAAATGTGTCCAGTGGTTCATGAGACACTTTTCTAACATGACAAACATGCAAACACATACAAACATGGGTTTAAAAAAAAACACTTTTTAGCAGCAGGGAATAATAAAATTAAGTTATTGAGACAAAACAAAGAATGTTATTTTTATGACATCTGCAAAAAAAAAAAATAGTAAGATGGACTCATCAGACAGCAAGTAAACGCACCTTTATATAGAAAACAAATGTGGTTTAATTTGATAAAACATAAAAAAA